TTTCAGTAATAATAATAAAATCCAAATCCAGTTCCTTTATTGCATTGGGTTTCTCAAGTTTTGGCTTTTTTTCCTGTCATTTGTCACTGGGTTTTGTTTCTGCTGTGGCACCCTGAAGTACTTGGGACTTTCTTTTGATGCTTGAGAACAGATTTCCAATTTGGAGTTTGTTTATTATTCAGGTCATGATGTGCTGATGATGGTCAGCGCTTGTTACAGGGCCAAGTTGCAAGGAAGAGCCATGAGCTCTCTCTCATTTGGAAATTTGCCCAAGGCAGCAATCATTCCTCAGTTCATGCTACTAGATTTTTTTTGTCTGTACAGGTTTGCCAAGCACGTGGTCAAGATAAAATTACATATTTTTCCTTGAGACTTTCCCGGTATTAGTGAAACTTGATTGTTAAACAAAATCTGTGATCAGAGTCTTTCCTTTTTTACTGTCCCTTTGGCTTAGTTTCTTTTTCCGCTACGTGGAACTTAATAGCTTGTCTAGTTGCTTTCCTTTCCATGGTCTCCTACAATAACCAAACGCAAAATACAGTAACCAATTAATGTTTAGATCGGTGGGGTTGTAAGGGAATGTATAAGGAAGAAAAACAGTATCACTGTGTGGATTATGGGATTTTTTTGGTGGTGCAAAACAAAACCTGAATTTAATCCTCTCAATTTTTATTCTAATTTTTTTCTCTTTCTGTTCTTCAATGTAACTGTAATCAACTAACTCTGGGTAGTGGTGATAAAGCCTACTGCAGCACGCATCCTGTGTATGTAACTTGAAGCAATTGGAGAAATGACCCTTAGTGCTTAAAATGATTAACTGTGCTAAGCTGTTTCTTCTGAGCACAGTTGAAATGCACTGAGAAACAATGTTCAAGTTTGCTGTCCCAACACATGAGTAATTAAATTCTTCGAATGGTATGTTTACAAAAACACCATTCCATTACAGATACTTCTAAATTGTCTCAATAGTACTATGAAGCATTACTACTGTTTCTGTTTGTACTTGCCTCGTGTGAAAAGCCAAAAACGAAATTGAGGGCTCATTGTACAAGGTGCTGGGTGTGAGACTTGTGGCACAAGATAATTTTGTCACTTGCTCAAATATATGGTTTTGGCTTAGCTAAAGAAAGGGAGGAGGAGGAGGATGTTTCTTTTCATCTGTTGCTAGACCAGAGTTGTACAAAAGGGCAGAAAGGTAAACATGTCACAAGAAGAAATGGCTATGAAATGTAAATTTACATATATTTGAAATGAGACAAGGTTTCTAGTTATCAAAGTAGTGTTGTCCTTTTAGAAGGAACCTTCATCAGTTTTAAAAAGGGATTACATAATATGGTTGATCAAAACATTAGGAGGACTAAACAGGCGAGGAGTTTTGTTCCAGCTGTATGATCTCTGCCCTTTGGAGAACTGGAAATAACTGTCACCTACTTGTCATTCAGATGTACACTGTGAAACTGTAATGTAAAAAAGGGACATGTGAAGTAGAAATTTTAGCTGCTTAGAGTTTTGTTGCCTCATGGTCAAATCACTGCACTGGAATTGATGGTAAGGGTCATTGGGGTCAGCATGTATAACATCTGTTTTACCTTGTATTTACTGTGTAATAGTAGCAAACTTTTGATTCGCAATTTTGTTAAGAAAAATCTGATAAATTCACCTTTTTTTAACCAATTCAGCGCCAAAAAGCTCAATGCACATAGTAACACAAATCCAGAAGTAACAAAATCTACACTGATACAAATCCCATTCACGTAGAGGGATGTAATGCTGGCCTGGCCTGAGAATGTCTTGTTCCAATAAATGTGTTTCCATCTCCTTTTGCTTGGGCTGTACAGCATAAACTTTTGCTTTAACTGAAACTCACTTGGAGTATAGAGGATCCATCTGTTCCCTTAGTCCTTGTAGGCTCCAAAATCCATTTCTCTAGGAACAGCCATGGATGTTTGAGAAGTCTGAAGGACAGGGAGAAAAACTCCAAAATTCACTGGCAGACAACTCACTGCAGTGTTTAAATAGTGGGTGCTGATTGCTTTGCTATGGAGAGGATTGAGGTTTATCCACGGTGTCAAATAGTTCCTCTGGAGACACGTACATCTGTAGTAGTTCTGCAAATCGCAGCATCATGGTGCTAACTGAATGCACAGCGGCATTAGTATCGTGCTGGCTAAGGCTCCTTGGTTCACCATGGGGCTGGCTTAGGTTTTCTTCTAAGGAGGATTTTGGAAAGTGAAGAGAGGTGAAAAATAATTTGGGGATGAATTTGTATCTTCTCCAGATAGTCTGCACAGGAGTTAGCTGTACATGATTTGTCATTCTGCACAGGCATTTAGGTTAGGGGGTGGGATCGATGCTTTCTTGTTACAGCTGTGAGAATGCAAAATGCTATCATTTTAATACGTTTTTTTCATCCTAACATATGCATCCTCAGAGTGCCTCTGTTCTGAGAATCTTAGACATTATGATCTACTCAGGCTGACTTTTCAGCTCTTTCAGGCTGCTTCTTTAAAAGTTGTGATAACCCCAATAAGTCAACACAATCTCCTTTAGTTACAAACTGGGAAGTCTGTGGAAAATTGCAGCTGTGGGGAAGTTGTATAGCTGGAGTATGTGTTTCATGCTGCACTGCACGGTACTCTAATGCTTTTCTGGGCTCATAGCACTCACTATCCATTTTAAGGTGTTTAAGTTTTGCTGTCTGTTATTGAGTAGATTTAGAAAAGTATGCTTGTCACGGGGCAGTAGGGTAAAAGAGCAAATCCATCCTAAAATAATGGTATAATTCTCCTGCATACCTGCACAGCTGAAACAGTCCATTTTCCTGCCTTCTTTCATGGCTTACCCCCCCCCGCCCCCGCCTTGACATTTTGAAAAAAGGAGCTCTACTGGAGTCTCTGTGCATTAACGCAAGATAAACTGTTTTCTTTTTTCATTTCCTGCCATTTCATGCTTCCGTCAGGACTTTTCCAGGAGAAAGGAGAGGTCAGTATTCAGTTGTTTGGGAAAAGAAGACTTGGTTACAGATATTTAAACAAGCCCAAAACAAACAGCTTAATTGGTCACACGAGGAAAGCAAAATACCAAGGTCCTCCTCTCGTTCCCTCATATGGCGTCCAAGTGACCCTAAACATCTGATTATTCTTTTTCTCTTAGCTTGCTTCTATGTTTAGCTTTGTCATTTCTATTAATAGCATCCACCCTGGAGGCTGCGCGAGGCGGGCAAAGGTGTCTGCCCATGCTGCGTGAAGGCAGACGTCCTGCCATGGGAGAGGGGGGAAGAGGGGTTGGGGCTCAAGCGCAGCTGTTGCTCCAGCATTAGGGAATTGGTTGTGAGACAAGGGAAAGACATGAGGGGTGACTGGCTGTGGGCGGCCATAGGCTCTGGAAAGTCTACGGAGAGGGGATCAACCTTCTGGCAAATTGCACTTAGCCATCAGCATTGTCTGCAGGGATCCTGGTTTTTTTTGTGTTTGCAGGAAACTGTACTTTTTTTTTTTTTTCCAGTCTTGAAAAGGTTCATCTTCAGACAATGAACAGGGACCTGTGAATTCTTTCTGTTGGGCGTCAGGCTGGTTTGTGACTTCCAGACAGTTGAAGTTTTCATGTCTTTCGTGCAGCCCTTATTTGCTGACCTGCTTTCAGCATACTGGCAACTTTGTGGCCATGAAGAAAATAATCATATTGGAAGCCATTTCACGATCTACTTCCTGCAGAAAATGCTTAAAGAGTGAACACGTTTAAATACCAGTCTGCTCTTTGGACCTAAATGTTGTTAATGTAGGGTCAAGAGAAGTCTCGGTAAAATATCGGTTCCTGTACACCAAAATGAAGTGTCACCCCAAAACCCCCTTTAGTTAGGTGAGAAACAGCAGGCCAAGAGATGCTACTTAAAGCTCTTTAAAATAGCCAAGTCTAAGTTTTAGTATTTTCAAGTACTTGAATACCATGGCAACAAGAGCTTCAATGCTTGAGATAATTGGGGACAGAATTCACACGCTCCCATAAGAGGAGGCAGTAGTCCTCTGAGAGCTTTAAAGTGGTTTGCAATCTGAGGTAGTCGTGGGTGCTTGTCAAAGAGAATTTCTCTACCCAGACCTGTCCTTCCCAGTTACTAGCCAACAACCAGAGCCCTTTGCAGTGCCCCATTCACTCTAGCAGATTCCCACATCTGTGTGGGGTACGTTCCATTGGAGTGCCTCCTAATTAAAGTTGCTGTGTCTGTGAAAACATGTGCTGCATTACAGCAAAATCATGCTTAACCCTAGACAAGATTTAAGATGTCTTTAAAATTAAAACGTGAAGTTCTAGTCAAGCAGCGGAGTTGAAAGCGCAGCTAGCTGAGAGAGCATCTCTTCATACCCACACTGTGATGAGAATGGTGGACAACCCATCCCGATCCCAGAGCTACATAGATGTTATTGATAATGAGACATGCAGTTTATGGCTTGCCCTCAAGAGGGATCGATCAGACATTGTAAGCAGCAAGACGCGCAAGGGCATGCTGACATTTTGGGATGAGGATTAAGTTATATCATAAGCAAAATATGCTAAATCTGGGAGAATCCCCTCATTGCCTCTCTTGCTGGGGTTATGAGAGGCATGGCTCCCTGAGTAAAGGATAAAACATTGGTTTTGGCGATTGACTGTCTTAAGGTGAGGATGTTTGAAGACTCTCAGGTGCTTTAATCAAGGAGTCACTAAAGTGTAGCCCTCCTCTAGACACAGGTGAAGTTCTTATCTCAAAGGCAGCAGTACTTTGACAGCGCTGTGCCTGTCGTACATAAATCAGTTTAACATTCTGTATTATTAAAATGGTGGCACTCATTTCTCATTTAATTTTCTAAAAGACATAATTTACTCCTTTCTTGTCTTAACAGCACTTAAAAAGAAGAAAGTGCAAAGAAGTTGTTTCCCTCTACTGGCTCATCTTCACCATACCTCTCTCCCATTCTGCTTCCTCCTTACAATCCCCAAGTGAAGATGAGTAGCGTGCTGTGAATATGACGTCTCTGACTAGTGTCATTGCTTCCCACCAGTCTGAGTGGGTGTCCTTCAGTGATGAGCTGCTCCTCCCTGTTAACCCACGAGGTAAGCTATCTCTGATTTTCTTTGACCCTTGTGAGACTTTCTTTGTTTGAATTGGACCAACTACTGTCATATATCTAGCATCACAGAGCTTGCCAGAATGTGCAGAGGTTGAACTATCTCCTGCTACCCCTATGTAATAGGAGAATTTGGGCCAAAATTGTAAAATACTCTCTTAATGTGAGATTTCCTTAGCATAGGTCTATTAGAGGGTTTGGATCTCTCCTTTGAGATTCAAGACAGTATCCAACTGACCATGGAGGAAGTCTCACCTATTATAATTGAGTGCAAACCTATGCCCAGTGTTAGTCTAAAAACTACATTAGGTGAAGGAAAATTTTCTACCTACATTTAATAGAAAATTTTAGATATTTCAATAAAAACCAGTAAAGTAATGGTGAGTACTATCTATCTTTCTACTTCGTCTTTATGTTAGGTAGAACTGAGGAGCCTCTGGAGAAATGTTTTTCTTCCTCAGACACCTCCTCAGAAGAGAACCACAATGCAGATGGAGAATTTCAAGACCTCTCCCATGCAGAGCTGGAAGATGCAGCTGACCAACGCAAGGTGGATTCTGCTGTGCTTGGGAACCACGTGGTTCCCAGCACTGATCTGTCGTCATCCATCAGTGCTTGGGTTCAGTTTGAAGATGCACCGTGGACCAGTGCTTCATCAACCCACCCGCAAGCAGGTGAGGCAAATGTATGAAAAGGTCCATTCCAGCAGCATAACAGGGTACAGTGAGAGCCTGTAGGATTTTTCCCTTGCTCTTTGATTTCTCCAAGACTGAACTTTGACTAGTTTGTACTGTATTTTAACACAATTAATGTTATCAGAGTTTCAAAAAGGGCTCATAATTTCATTCTGGGTTGAACTAGCAGTATTTTCTATTGGTAAAGGAAGTGAAAGGCTTCTTGGATTCATTCCACCTATGTCTTGAACCTGGAGATTGCCAAAATGCATTCGTGGGGAAAAAGCATAGTGGTGTTTTTAGTAGTGACATTTCTTATGTACAGGTATGAACAGCCATCTAAAAAGTCTTAGCCAAGTTTGCCTCTGTAATCTGGAACTGAAAGAATGGTGATCGCTGTCCTCTGTGGTCATAATCTATATCTGCCCATAGTCCCTATGAGGTTTTTGCCAGAAGCTTAGTGAGACCAACAACTAGTGTGCCAGTGCCCATCAGTACTTTCTGCTGTCTTCTGTTGCTATGGTATAGCAGCTGGAGAATTACAAAGCCAACCAAGGCTGACCCTGATTCCAGGACTGTATACGCTTTTCTTCAAATGTAGAAGTTCTTTCTGATATACTTTAAACGTGCATGCAAAGCCACTGGCTTGCCTCCTCAGCTTATGCTAACTGTTGTGGCTATATAAGCTTCTAGTTTTTCTGTACAGACTTCTGTCCCTCCCTGCAGGAGGCTGTGGAGTAATTGCCCAAGAAAACATTGGTTTACTTTTTCATGTTTAGATTGAGATTCTGTCTTAATAATTCCACTTTGTTACTGCTAGTTATTAAAGCAGTTAAAAGAGTTACAGCTTTCCTCTGCTCACTGAGTCCATCAGATATTCCCTGTGACATGAATAATACTTCTCTCAGAAAACTTGGATTTGCAGCTTCGGGTTGGGTTTGGGGTAAAACCCAACAGTTTTCCATCTGCTCTTCTTATGGGTGCTACAGACTAGTCTGAGACAGTGGTTAGACTTTCGTGCAGGACAAGTGGGTGAATCTTCTGGCAAAAGTAAGTTTCTCTTAAAGTCTGCTTCAGGCCTTCTTATGTTTACATTTATTTGTTGGTTAGTTGTCTTAATTGTTAATACTTACTCATCCTGGTGATGAGGAGAGAAGGAAGAACACCCATAACTACATTTATAAAATTGAGGTGCTCTACCTCTCTCTCATTTAATTTCATGGTTAGGTGATCCTTACTCTTACTCATACAGCCACATACTTTTTTAAACAGAGCTGTTGGTTGCTCTGACACCATATTACCTTCCTAGTGTTGTGATGTCCTTGTTGACTGGAAAACTCAAAGTGCACCTTCTCATTAAACAAAACAAAATTCCTTGCTCAGCCTAAATAAAGCTAGCCATAACAAAGAGACTTCCATAAGACTAATTTTATGGTGTATTGCTTGACTTCCCATCCTTAAAGGGATGTGTCGCAGTCTTAAGGTATGTGCTTAGCAAAAGCACTGTCTCTTGGTTTGTGTTTTCAGTCACAGCGGACACTAGGTTGTAGGCAGAGGTCTAGGATATCCAGAAGAGATGATCAGAGAAGACTTTACAAAAGCATTGTGGTTTTGAAGAAGGCACCCATTTGTGTCCCTGCCAAGGCTTGTGCTAAGTGATCCATGCCACTGGGGGGGTATTTACACACTAACTTTTAGCATCTGACTGAGATTCCCGGAGGAGGATGGTTCCCCTGGCAGTCAGATCAAGGTGTACTCCATGTAATCCTTGTGCGGGAGGCTATTATTCTTTAACTACATAGGAACCCTAAGGAGGTGATGTGGATGTTTAAAAATCCTTACTTATGAGCTAGTCCCACTCCTGTTCTGGACCCTGTATTATAAATGGACAGACCAGCGCAGCTGACAGCCTCTAAAGGGGAGGTCGTGGGGCAGAAGGGATGACAGCTCTTTGTCTCTGGCCCTCTACTCTGAGGGGCGTTTAACAGCAAGAGGTGGGATAAACTTCAGCCTTGTTGTTCTCAATTAGTTTGCAGGTCACGTCTTTTTTCTATGGACGGCAGAAAAGCCGGAGACTTTGTGTTATAACCACGATACACTGACATGCTCAGTGGAAAGCCTGTGGTGACAGCAATTATTCATTTCCAGTAGCAGACAGCCCACATAGGAACAATAGCGAATAGCCAGATGGGGGGTGAGTATAAAGGCCAAGCATAGACAGTGTGAGAAGGATGGAGATGTTTGAAATCTGTTTCCTGTGCAGGCAACTGTGAAGAGCAGTGTCCTGAAGGCTCAGCACCTCTGGCGTGTTCCTGTCGGGGCTCCAGCGCTGTTAGGAAATCGTCTGTCTGTCTGTCCACGCTGAAGCAGCTGCACAGCTGACTAGATAATTACCCAGGCTGATGGCCAGGCTGCCTGAAAACACATTTTGCAAAGGGCTCACAAAGTGGCATTTCCAGAGTGCCATGAGAGCAGAGAGGATGGGCTCTAGGAGGGAGAGATGCTCTCTTACTCTGACCTCAGGGCTACAGTATTTTTGCACAGGTTCCCCCAAATGCAAATCTTTGTCCCAAAGTGCTCAGGGTCTAAAAAAAAATAGTAATTTAAAGGCAACTGCCATGTAGTGGTTATCCTATAGGAAATATGTTTGAAAGAAAACCAAGGCTAATGCTGGACTCTTGTTGTCCTGGGAAAAGTGAAGGCATTATTGGGGGAGCAGCAAGCAGGGGGACTGATAGCAAGAAACAGGGTTAAAAACACAGGCAAAGAATTCGGAAGGTGAGAAGAAAGGTCAAAACCTGAGGTCTAGAAATGAGAAGCACCCATTGTGAGCCTTGTAGTGGAAATTATCTTTATTTAGGGCATTCTTGTAAACCATTCTACCTTGTTCAGGCAGAGTAAATGCTAGGCAAAATCTTTCTTTGAAAATATTTCTGCTTTTCAGGTTTATGAGTAGATAACTGACAGCTGCCAAACGATGCGGATTTCTCCCTGGGGAGGAGTAACTCTTGAGCGAGGCCACAGAAACATTTATTCACAACGATACATTGTGGAGCCCTCTTTTTCCTTTTGCTGGGAAAAGAAGAAATTTTATTTTTCTCATAGTTACTATCAGGCTAGTCAAACTCATACTGTAAAAGTGAAAAATGAGCTTTTTAGGCTCGCCCAAATGTTCCTATCAAAAATGTTACATAATCTGTAAATCATCACAGCCAGCCGATGACATAACATTTGCATTTGTTACACAATGGGCCTCCAGCTTGCAATCTCATATTCTATCGGTGTTAGCTGCACTCTTGAATTCAATGAGGTATTCAGCAAAGTGCCAAAATTAGAGCAAGGCAAGATCTGTTACATCATCTGTTCTACTCACACACCCCTCACCCCCCCTCGCTTCTTCCCGAGAGCTTTGTCTGGTTTAAAATGGCTCAAGTAACTTGGACTCCTACCATGTCCCTTGAGAGGCTATCCCACAGTAAGGCAAATCTCAGTTTAACCATTTTGTGTTGTTCTGTCTGCAAATAGGAAGTACATGCAACATGAGATCAGCAGCTGAAAACTAGACCAACTGTGATGCTGTCCTAAAATCAGAAAGATCTGAGGTCCTATGTGATAGGAAAGGAAATGATGCTAACAACGTTGATTGTAATACTGTGTAGGGATCAAGGAACGGGTCCTCAAAACATCAAAGTGGAATGAATGCTTAAAGGTAAATCTGCATATTAAAAGCCAATCCATTGTATCGGGAACAAACATGTCAAGAAAAGAAAAATGCATGTGGAAGGAAACATTTCTCAGTTTGGGAAACGAGTCAGTTGATATTCAGTATGCTACACATGCTACAGGATTTGCATGTTAGGGACAGTTCTGGCACTGGTCTTTCAACATAAACAGATTTCTGAGAAATTCCTGCAGCTGAAAGGCTGTGACTCTGGGTCTATTGACATTAGAGACTAAATTCCAAACGTCTAGGAAGAAAAAACATACCTCATTTAGGAATTTGGTTTCAGCCCTTCCAGGAATCTGGAGAGCAGCAGGAGCATTTGAGAGGGACCTAAACATGTGTAGATGTTTACTTTTGCTTGTCTAGCTTTTTGAGATTGATAGATAGTTGTTTGACTTTTACTAGTTCCAAGGGTTAGTGTTGGGGAACCTAGAACAGTCATAGCTGGAAGTTGACTGTAGTGAGACTTTAAAGTGCATCTGTTGCAGAAGCAGCTCTGTATGGTTACGGTTTTCCAAAGTACAAGTCTCTTTCTTTAGAAAAAAACAAATAAATTCTTCCAAAGTGGCACAACTTATCTGGAATACAATTAATTTGCCCTTATATAGAAGTATCCTGCAACACTATTCCAGTCACTCTCCCTCTTAGACAAACATTAGGTTTGGAAAGCACAAAACAAGTTGACAGTATATGAGTTATTAAGTCTTACGTGTTTCTAAATTAACTTACGTTTTTCATATTGCTGTGACTGACTTTAAACAAAAAGAAGAAACATCGCAAATCGAAGAGCTTATTTTACAAAAAGAATCCACAATTTCTAGAATTCCAGATATACAACACACAAAAAAAAAGAAAGCGCTTCACTCTTGCTTCTGGTTCGCGTATGGAGCTCAGTTTTTCAGCTTGTCCTCTGTGTCCAAATAAAGCACTCTGACTGTCAAAGCAATTTCACGTGAAGTTTTAAGGGTGGCTTTGCAGATGCCTCATGCCGTGTTTAACAGAAAGGCTGAGAGAGGGACTGACAGATTATAATCATACATTTGTCATCCTTTATCTACAGGCGTGGAGCACAGAACTACTGGAGAGAGAAGTGGCATTTTGTGGTCATGTCACGAACACAATTGTCAACATGTGCAGCAAGGAGACAGATTTCCTGACTTTCAGCTCCTCATCCTTAGGGCTGACTCTACTCAGAAGCAGCTTAGTACATAGGCTCCTACCTGTACAAACATAAATATGTTAGTGCCTGCTCACTTGAGGGTAACAGTGCCGCTATACAAAATAAATTTGCACTTCTGAATTGGCAAGGCAGGGAGCCCCGTTTGGGTCCCTCTGTGCACACAGCAAGGTTTCCATAACGAAATGGTGTCCTGTCACACCTCTTTGATGGAGCAGAGAGATAAATACTCTTTTAAGATTAATTTGCCATTTTCTTACAAAGTGTCTGTCAACCTAATAAGGGTTGTTTATATATTATATGTGGAGAAGAGAACCTCTGTATCACTGGTGGTTCTGTAACTGCAAGATTTGGGGTGCATTGAGATATTTGTTGGTTTAAAAGATAAACATAGATGTACTAACTTAGAAAATGGTTATTATATTGACGTTAAATTAGTATTAGTCTCTATCAATACACCTTTCCTTAGTTCAGGAAGACTTCTTTACTGCATTTTTTTATTTATTTCCTCACTAGAGTCACCCTGTATACAGGGTATACAGTATACTGCAAACTGTATACAGTACACATCCATAGCAGTGGATGTTTAACAGTCTTACCCTGAACTCTGGATGATGGTTAGGCAGGATTTACTCTTTGACATGCAATTCTGGCAAGTGAGAAGAACAGGTTTTTTGGCCTAAGCTGAGCAGAAATGTTATGCAGTTTATTCAGATCAGGGCACTCCATTCTGTATGTTCAGAAACAAAAGCCATTTCTAGTGCACATCAATAGGTCAATTTCAGTTTATTTTTATACTCCTCCCATGTGAAGCATTCCTAAGATGACGACTACATTTGAGTGGGTGTCACAGATAGGGAATGCTTAATTAAATGTAATAAAACCACTTTAAAAAAATATGTGGTACTATAAATACTTCCCTGTGTTGCACAACACAGATATTCAGATCTTGTCAGCGGTGGCAGAAACATGAAATCTTCCTGCTCCGAAAAGTCTCAGTTTTGACAAAACTTGAGCAACAGGAAAACATACAGCTGCCAGCAGTGTGGGATCTAAGGCAGACAGCTGACTAGTGCTGGAGGGTAACAGTGCCAGGCACTAATTAAGTTGATGTGTGTTTGTTATAAAATAACTGTGTTGCTGTGGATGTTGGAATTTATATTTACAGAGTCTCAGCAGACTGATATAGTGCATCTTTGGAATAGTTGTGATCTTCTGTAAGATTGCCCTGTAAGTCTCTAACTGATACCCATTTGTTTTCTGCATCCAGTGTCTCCATCAAAAGCACCCAGCTGGACTTCCCCCTCTTCCAACTCTTCTGAGAGGCGAGCCCATGCCTCGGAGAGCAGCTGGACAACCAACTCGGAGGACACCAGCAGCCCAAGCATTGCTCCCTCCTACACAGATCTGCAGTCAGTTAATACCGAGGACTTGACCAGTGGTGGAACGTCTGCAGCAGATTCAGCTGGTAAGAGGGAAGCCTTTGAGCTTCCATCTCGATCTTTTTGATGCTAATTAAACTCACTGCTCAGAAGTGGACTACAGAGAATGGATCCAAAGCAGAACAAACTCAAGGATTAGGCAGACTCGGATCCAAACAAACAGAACAAACTCAAGGATTAGGCAGACTAACACTTTGTTCTAGTCCAATGCCCAAAAAATCACACCTGGATTTGACACACCCCTGATATGTGCACACTCCCAAAGTAAGTGCCAAATGCAACTATGTACACGTTGGTGGACTTGTCTGAGTGAAATGTTGGAGCGTTTCTGGTTTTTGCATACCACAAAAGCTTAAGCTGATCTAGGAGTGAGTTCTCAGTATATTGTGGGACAAGCTGGATGCCCTTCCTGAACTTCCATGCAGAAATTTTCTTCACTCACCAGTTTATTCAGCTGAAGCAGGTCCAGCTCTGCATGCCCCTCTCTGTTTCAGTGAGTGCCAAGACACAGATCCAGGCTGCTGGATGCATCCTTTGCACTGTGCTTTGCACTGGTAGTGTGAAGTAATGCAGAGAGAGTGTAGGAGATGACAGAAAGTGGTTCAGTAGCAGATTTTGATCACTTAAGGATCCTTTACCTGACCTCATAGGGATCTATTCAGATGGTGTCCTGACTGTGGAAAAATGCGCTGCATGGCATTGTAGCTCGTTGCTCCTCGGTTGTACTCTAGATAATCTCTGAAGCAGGAGAAATAAAGCAGAGTGGTGCCACCCATAACATGCAGAGTTGGGGTGATGAGGGCTCCTGAATGACAAAGCAGATTTTCACAGAGCATAAAAAGAGCTGGCATATCAGGGCACAAAAAGGAAAAAAATACACAGCTCTAGGAGGAAGCACCTGCAGTATGTTGGAAGCTGTTCACTCCAAGCTGAGGAAAGTCAGCAGCTACCCGGTTTGGTGATGAAAATTGATTCGCTGTTGTCATAGTAGCTCAGACGTGAGGTATTTAATGTGCTTTCTCTCAGGTGGTGTATGTAACAATATGTGTGAAATAAGCTGTTTTGGGAGAATGGACTCCTAAGCCTCACTGAGGTCGTATGTCCTTTCCATAAGAAACATATACATAGATGACCTGAAAAGAGTGTTATTTGATGGTTCCGTGAAACTGGGTTGGACATTGAGGCAGGTTCATAAACAGCAGCACGGTAGGTATGGGCTGGGTGCTTAAGGCAAAGGATTTGTGGGAAAATAGTACTTACGTTAGATAAGTAGAGACCTTTCTTTCTTCAAATACAGTTACCATAAGTCTGTCTGGTGGTTTTTATTTTAGAATACTCTGCTTGTCTGTACCGCGGAGTTTGGAAACAACAGGTAAAAAGGTAGAATGGCAAGCTGGCACCATGTGCCAGCTGTTTAGATGCCAGCGTGGGCATCAGTTCTGTTCTGATGAACTTAGGTTTATTAGAGTGAAGTGTAAGAGTTTTCATCTGGAGTATGTGCTGGATATTCCTGTTTTGTTGATTTGGTATAGGTTGCCAAAGGGTGACTGGCTATTGTCACTGGGACTGTCTCCACATGAGCAAGGGAAATGAAGGATGCCCAGTTTGTATATAACTTCGCATCTTATAGAGAAATGAAACGAAAAAGTGCTGCTGTATATCGCTGGCATGCATATGGAATTATTTGCTATATATGTTCAAAAGAGAAGTTGATACTTCAGTAAAATCTTTGTATACAACCTTCTTACTCTTCCTTCTTTCCCATTCAGTCACAAACTGATGTATTTATTAGCAAAACAGGTACAAAAAACCATTCCTATCACCTATAAGTTTTTATAAGTAAAAAAATAGGTAATATAGGCAAAGCTGTGTCATTAGCTAAAACCTAAGGTACACTACCTTAGTGGTACTGGAACCTGAAGGAAGAAATACTGAAGTATTACTTACTGAAGTAAGTCTTCCTACCACCAGGTGTGGAGTTTGCAAAAGGGCAGCATGAGCAAAGCACGTCTGTTTGTTCCCGTTCATGGGATGGTGCACAGCCCACCTACCCCTGGGGTGCCTGCCGGCATCAGGCAAGGTTTGTGGAGGTGTGGGAGCTGAGGCCATGGAACTGTTGTGCAGTTCTGGCTGCTTTTCTGTTGTTCACTCCTCCTTCATCCTACCCTCACAGTGCATAAGTGGACAAAAAAGCATGATCACTTTCTGCTCTCCATCCTCTCAGCCCCTCTCTAGAAATTCAGTTATTCAACCCTGACTTGATTCAAACATTTGATTTGCATTTCTTTTCTCAAAAGACTGGCTGCCTCCATCTGTAGTGGAGTTTGAAGGCTCCATCAAGGCAATGAAATAACATTCCTTCCATGAAGGAAAAGAGAGAAATCCTTACACTCTATGTGATGGTTGACTGTTAGCCAGTATGTTGACACCAAGGTCAAGCTTGATGGAGGAGGGAGGGGAAAAATCAGATTCATTTCACTGCTAAAAAACCTAATGAAAATAAGAAATCAATTTTTGATCTACTTGGTAAAGAATCAGGTCTATAAGAGTAGCTCAGGTTTAGTATTGTTTCAAGCAAGGAAAACCTATTGGTGAGAAAAGTGTGAAAAATTCTTCTCAGTGGTCAGACACTGAGTAAAATAACTATTTGAGCCGAGGTGAATTTTTATTGCCTGAACAGCATAGAAGAGAATCCAGGATACTCTGTTCTGTAATTTCACCATTTTTCTTGAATTTATCCTGTATGTGAAATGCTTAAGTATCAACTGCCTGTCAAAGATCGGGGCCACGGGATTTTGCGTGGGAGCAGATACAAGCCTGAGGTAAGTCTGACTCAGGCGTAGACAGAGACGAGTCCCAGCAGTGAGAAGGCGTAACTTGGTGTCCAGGGCTGGTAGGCTCCAAGCAGATGAAGTTGGCCAGGAATCCACTTTCTCACAACTGACACAAGATTTGAGTGGAAAACAATTCCATGGGCTTGAGCTTTATCTAGTGCATGTGTTTATGTAAGATACGGTTTAGGAAGAAATCTGAGAAAGATGGTAGAGACCTGATAGATCCCAACCTGAGAGTATACCCTCACAATGGAGCAGGGGGGGACGACTGCAGAAAACCTCCTGACTGATGGAGTCAGGATCAGCCCAGTGATGTCCTGTAAAGGCAGTGGAGTTCACGGCATTGAAGGTAAACATTGCACGAGCAGAGCTGAAAAAGATTTGCTTTTCAATCAAAGTGCAACTAGAAGATGCTGCACTTTATTGCCTGTGCTAGTTTGAACTCTGGTACCAAGAAGCCTTTTATATTATCTTCATCTTTGTGGGCACAGGGGGCTATTTTAGCCTGCAGCAGCTAGCCAATAAATTTGGGTCAAGTGATAGCAGACTGCGCATTTAAAGTGTGCATGTTGACATGGTTGTAACAACAAGCACTTTACAACAGCTGGGGTTTCACAGTGTGTGTGAAGCTGTGTTTGGTGCTGCTGAAGTGGCCCGTTGCCTCAGAGCTTCCTACCATGCCTCGCCATGTGGCTCAGCTTGGATCAATGAGCATGGAAAGAAGCGGGAACATTTGGCAGTACTCTGCAAGATAAGTAACACAGGACATCTCTGTTACTGATACAATACAAGTATTTATTCATTCTGAAGCAGATGCCTGTCTCAGCTTTCAAAAAAGGCCAAATATCTACATGTCAGAGGAGCAAGGGAGAGGCCTTCTTGTAGCTGTGATTAGAGATTTGGCAGCACTGGGATCTGTTCTGAGATTGCACACAAATACCTCACTGCTTGATTTGGATTTCTGCATTTCACTATTCATCTCTAAAATAATTTTTATTTATAGAAATGAAAATTAAATATTGACTTGTACACAAAATTAAAATAATTATATATATTCAATACACACATAATAAAATAGATAAGATAAACATTTGCATAGATCATGAACTATATTCTAAATTTAAAAGAATATATAATAAAATTTATCCATACTATATAATAATGCTCTGTGTGTGTATATATATATAAAAAGCTGATCAGCCTTGCAGACATTAGTTCTCTGATAGCTATTTTAGATGCATTGTTGCTAGTTCTGTTGCTGTTCTGATTTGTGTCTTAGTAGAGCTGCAGCCACGCCATGTTTGATGTTGATGGTTCAATTTGCTGACCAGTTGTTCTGTTTGGCATTCTCCTGAAGCTCTGGGACTATTGGGATACTGAGGAAATCACTATGTTGTTATTTTCTGAGAACATCTGCATGTTTGGAGATGGAAGATTGCATGTGTGACCCCTAACTGCTCAAAATCCAGAAAGTTAATAAATAGCACAAGGAATTAATTCTGAAATGTTGTTATTTTCAAAGTAAATTGCATGGTTTAAGGGGGTTCTGCTGCTTCTATTTTAAGAATTGAAACGACAATTCTGGCAAGCTCAGGTCCAACTATTTCTTGAAGGTAATGGAGGTCAAGTGGTAACTTTTCAAACCTTTTCCCAACGCTTGTCTGTAGTAGTTCTCTTACAAATGCTTTCTGTGACTGTGGCCAGCTAGATGCTGAGTCCTGATCTGATGATTGCAGGAACGGTGTTCTGTAGGTTTTAAAAAGAGCAACTTTGAACAGATTATACGCCTGCATAATGTGTTTGCACTGAATGCCAGAAACAGGCTACAAGCTCTGAAGATATTCCATGTTAATTACCAGAGCAGGGGGAAAAATAGCATATGCTGATGGTTAACACCCATAACTGCACTTCAGTTATGCTGTGTAACTATTAACCAACTTGTCCCAGTCCCAGACACATGAAAAAATTTGTACGTGAGAGCCTGCCAAAGCCAGCTGAGGAGGCTGCAGAGAGGAACACGGAACCCTTGCCTCAAAGAGGAGGGGACTCCAAAATACCGTGAGCAAACAGCACCTAAAATGTGTTCTTGCACAACTCCCAACCTGTAAGGGTTAAATTCAGCACCGGAGGCAGGGTGGTTTTTTCTTCCTCATGTCCGATACCAGCCAGAAGCTTGCAATTCAGGAGTTTTA